GGAGCTCATCATGTCTCTCTCTGTCCTCATCATCTCCATCCTCCGTATCATACAAGTCACTTGATTCTACATCCAGTAATATGTCTGCACCTTCCTGCATACATAAGAATTTATTAATCCTTGAAATTATATCAGATAAACCCGTGCGTAATGTGTGTAAGATCTCAGCCACATCCAGATACCTTCTTACATGGACAAGTGTCTTCTGTGTTTCTGTGTCCTCAATATGCTCACCATCTCTTTCCTCAGTGTCCTCTTCACTATCTTCCTTACTACTCTCCTCCCCAGTATTCTTCTCCCCAGAATGATCCTCCCATATCTGTCCCTCCACAGTGTCTTCCTCTTTGTTATATACATCCTCGGTATCACACAAGTCACCTGTGTCTTCTTCCTGTAACACAGTCAGTGGATCTGCCATCTTACACAGATTCTCAATGTGACATATGCTTCTGGACAGCTCGTCCTTCTTTGTTTCCAATTGATGGATCAGGTCAGAAACCTCCTTTTCTTCCCTGCAGATCTCCTGCAGGACATCCTTCTCCAGGTCATCCAGTTGTCTCCTGAGATCTGTAAACAGTGCAGTTATTCTTCGTACTTCAGCAATTGTTTTTTCTTGAGCTTTCATTTTACATTCCTGCAGACTTTGGGCTCTTTGTTCCATCTCCACTCTCTCTATGATCAGCTTCTGCAAAACATTTTTCAGTCTTTCCTTCTTGGTCTCGGCAGCCGCATCTAGTGACTCCATTTGGTGGCTCCTGTGTTCCTCTGCTGAACAGTACACACAGATACAGGCGGAATCTTCAACACAGTAGTACTCCAGGATCCTGTTATGGACGGAGCACATCTTGCTATCTGGGAAGATGGTGGGATCAATCACAATATGAACTCGTGACTTGCTGTGGACACTCAGATGTTTCTCACACAACGAAACCTCACACCGCAGACAGGATTTAACAGCAAGGACATATGCGTGTAGACAGTTTGTGCAGAAGATGCTAGTCTTTTGCTGATGTAGCTGAGTAGACATGAATTTTACAACTTTATAGCACAAATCAGCGTTCCTCTGCAGTAAAAGATGTGGCATGTACTGTATTCTGCATTTAGGACAGGAATAAACTCAAAATCTTTCATGGGTTACCAGTGCATGAAGAACACAGGCCCAGCATAATTTGTGTCCACATGCCAGGCTTACAAGATTGGTATAAGTATTCAGACAGACGGAACACTACAGCTCCCTGCTCAACTCAGCCGATGCCATCGCTGACAGCTGAAGATATGAAAGTAAATGTTTCTGACCCTCAGACTGTTGTGTATTTGTCACACATGCAAAATAAATCCTTTTAAGGAAAGAAAAAGTGGGGTTTTGAAAGCACCAAAAAATGACAACTCCAACCGATATATGTAAAAAATATATTTATTTATTTCATATAAATCTTAAAAAAGGAACAGAACAAGGATAAAAAATTTCAAAGAGATAAACTTTCTTACACTTTAGGCTAAGCCTATAAGTGGACCAAACAAACCAACACTCGATCTAGACTAGACCACTTATCCCGTCCCTCGGACTGGGAGAGGGATGGGGGGTTTGACTCAGACTCCTTATCGTTCTCCTCATTCTCATCAAAAAACAAACAACAATATAAAACACAGGGATCTCACTTTCCACGTAGAAAAAACAAGGGAGGAGTTTCACGTAGTGATACAGGAACCCCAAAACGCAAAACACTTTCACCCAACCAACAAATGTCACGAATAGAAAAAACACATAAAGGGCATGAGGACAATTTCTCCTCCTCAGAGCAACCTCTTCTACCTACACCAAGGGCCTCGGCCCATACACATATATCACGTACACTTATGCAAGGGGCTGCGAATACCCTAATGACATCCCTTACAACACGTCAGGAAGAATCACGTAATCATAAGGATTACCAGTCACTCCCTCTAGATACAACACATGTAGGTACCACGTAACCTGTTTTTTTTAGGAATTACGACACCAGACAACAGAAGAACGGGGAGTCTGGATCCTTTTTTGGTGAGAACAAATTGGAAGTGATAAACCTCTCGGGGTACCCCTTAGATGAATCACAGTTGCAAGTACTAAAACTGGGCCTAAGTTTTTGTCCTACGGACAATTTCAAATATTTTGAAGTAAAGACCTACACATGTTCGCAAGAAACTTGATGTTTAAGGTCATGTATGATAAAACTACCACCCAAAATAACCAACTAAAAATGGAACTATCCAGATGGGAAGGATACACTATGCAGGACTTTAGAGCCCTAAGGGACCTGATGCAACTGTTGGAAGAGGGTAATACTAGAGACATCACATGTTATGAGGACACCAAAATTGAAGGGGAACTATCTATACAATCTACAACTTTAAAAAAAAGTCATCTAAATTTCCACCAATACAATCGAACCCCTATATTTGGGCATTCCTTCAAAGTGCCATTAAAGATATTGAAATGTTACCTAATCTTACGCCTGAAACAAATTTACCCAAATCTCTTAGGAAGGCTTTAGAAAGCTTATCTTCAATGGAAGACATTGTCATCAAACCCTCCGATAAAGGAGGAAATATAGTGGTACAAAATAGAACCCAATACGAACAAATGTGTAAAAAAATTCTATGTAACCCAGAATGGTACAAAAAAATCAATGAGACCCAAGTAAAAACTTACCAGACGGAATATCAAACAATTATCTATCGAGCATACCATAATGACCTCATCAACAAACAAACATTAGATTATCTTGATATTAAATTTCCTCGTCTCCCTACTTTCTACTGCCTTCCAAAGACTCATCAAAACCTAACGGACCCTACGGGCAGACCAATCGTGTCAGGAATTGGTAGCCTTACCAAACTGGCCAGTCGGATGATTGATGACTATCTGAGACCTCATGTGATAGCCCTACCTTCATATTTACAAGATACATCCGACCTCCTTAAAAATATAGACGGTATTATGATTCCACCAGATTCTTGGCTGGTCACAATAGACGTGGAGGCACTATATAGCAGTATTCCCCATCTGAAAGGTATAGAGACCATTAGGCAGTTTCTGGATGAAAGGACCAACTCATCGACACTATATAACAACTTCATCTTGGACTTGCTGCTCTTTGTCTTAACACATAATGCTTTTACGTTTGGTGGGTCCCACTACCTTCAGATGCAGGGGGTTGCGATGGGCACATGTTGTGCCCCGTCATATGCCAACCTGTATCTGGGGGGGTGGAAACGGGAACTATTCCACTCTTTAGATGCCTGTGGGTTTTCGGACCATATTCTTACGTGGTTGAGATCTATAGATGACGTGTTTGTAATTTGGATGGGCTCTAGGGACGAGCTGGAGGTGTCTGTCTCTCGTCTGCAGCTAATCAGGTTTAATCTAAAATTTACCATGCAGTGCCACCAAAAGTCCATCCCATTTTTGGATGTCAAGGTGGGGGTCGACGATGAAGGCTCAATTTTCACGGGACTCTATAGAAAAGAATCGGCAGGAAATACCATCCTGCATGCCACCAGCGCACATCCGATCCCGCTTAAAAGAAGCATACCCTACAGCCAATACCTACGGCTTAGGAGGGTATGCTCCTTGGACCACCTCTTTGAGGAAGAGGTTAAGCTCAGGGATCGCCTGTGCGCAAGAGGATATAGCAGACGGGTCTTGAAACAGGCTTACCAAAGAGCCAAGCTGCAGACGAGGGACAAACTAATCTACTCATCCAAAAGAGAACGAACTAAACAAAAGACACCAACGGTAAAAGTAATTACCCACTATTCCAAACAGTTCAATCAAGTTAAACAGATCCTAGAAAAACATTGGCACCTTTTATCACAGGACCCTATTATCTCTAAACATATAAGAAACCAACCGGAGATTGTATACCGCCGCCCAAGGTCCATACGAGACTAGCTAGTACATAGCCACCATCAGGAGATTAAGGCAAGTGAGGCTACCCCTAGGGGAACTTTCAGATGTGGGCATTGTAGCTTTTGTAGATTCATCAATCAAGGTGAATCTACAATACTCCCGAACGGCCAAATATGGTCACCTCGGGATCATATGGACTGTCAAACTAGGGGGATTATTTACTTGATGACCTGCCAATGTGGCGCTTTCTACGTAGGTAAGACGATTAGGCCTTTTTACAAGCGTATTCAGGACCACATATATTTAACATCAAATGGTAAGATGACGACACTAATAAGTCGTCATGTGGGCCTGTACCACAATTTTGATGCAACGGTCTTATCATTTTTTGGGCTGGAATGTATAAGGGAAGACAAACGTAGAGGAGACTGGGATAAGAAAATACTTCAGAAAGAGACAGGGTGGATTTATAAGCTACGGGCCATACAGCCACCTGGACTGAATGAAACCCTTAGCTTTAAACCCTTCCTCTAAGAAAACACTCCCCTAAGGAACTAATAACAGTCCATATCCCCCCATGACCACCCCAACAGCGACTTCATACCATCTAAACATGCTTACTGGGAAACACCACCAACTAAACACACAAGAATAGAAGTGTGGGAAATGCTTCCCCAGGTCCATTAAAATGATAGATTCATTTGTAAATACACCTTAGTGCGATCACAATGACAAAAATATACGAATTATGCGATGTATAACTAATGTATTCTGGACGGATTACATCTCTATGATTGAAAAAACACCATAGAATCTATTGGATCGTATCTATTCATATATGTATATGTAATAAGGTACAGATTATGTACCCATGCATATTCATGCAATGGACAACATATACGATTTAAGTTTATTATCTCACATACTGATAAATGTATTATCTTTTGAAAGTTATAGTTTTTTAAATTTTTGCTTAGAAATATAAAAACATTTAAGTGCGGACTTTGAAATTGGAGTCCCTCTATGCGATGTTCCCTCGCACTCGGCCGTACGTCTCCTCCCTAGAGACGTACGTTATGGCTATTCCAAATCCTTAAAAAAGCGCAAGGGTTCAGCAAACCATCGCTGACTGGCTGTAAACCATTACTGATTGGCTGGGACTCCACGGACAGTGCGATGACGTCATAAATACGTCGCCGCGCTGGATGCCGTTATAGCGCCCACGTGAGCCACCGACACCAGCATGCAGCCTCGCGGCGGCGTTTCCGGTAGTTGGTGGCGTGGAGGCGTCTGGCTCAGCTGTCTCTTTTTGTTTGTGGGAGAAAAGACGGGACGGACCTTTAATCTCCCTGGCGATGAATCTAGTGAGCGGGACACATCTATCCGAGGTATGCCTGACTGAGCACAAACAGATAGGAGCGCTATCTCCTCTCTCTACTATATATGAAGAGTATGACTCATATGCCTCGGTGATGTTATTTGTCCCTTCTCCTCTTGTCTGTTCTTTATAGACCTTTACTACGTTCTTTGCCTTTCGCCCCCTGCTCTAAATTTGGGTCATCCGACTCTCACCCCTTTTTTGGCCCACTGGGAAGGACCATATGGAATTGGCCGTCCGGGAGTCTTTGCTTGGGAACATACGCATATACCTGCCTGTGCAAAACTAGTAGGTAAGATTCGACCCAATTCATTTTCCCTCCCCTTTAGAATAATAACTATGATAGAAATTACATTTAATGTCTTTCTATACTATACAGATATCTCCCTTTTATTCCTGAAGAAGCGCAGAGTTGCGCAAAACGTTGAAGTTGCTCCTCCACCCCCCAACCCACCATCAGCAGTCACTGATCCAAACATTACCATCTAGGTTTGCGGCATCATGATATAGTGGGAACTGGTTTTTCATCACAAAGTTATACCTCACTAATTGATTGAGCTTTATAAGCACTGTCACTTTATTTTGCCAATGGAACTGTAATACACAGCCTAAACAGTTCTATAGAACTATTTAATTTGATCATGTATGTGCACACAGTTTGATGGTGAAGTACAAAGTGTTTGACACAATCATAACCATCTTCAATATGCCTCAATCATGCATCTTAAACATTTAAATCATGTGGAATCCCTGATAATCATTGCCTGTACCTTTGTATAAACTCTCAAGGTAGCCATCACTTTGCTTGCGGGTTGGTGTTAGTGGAGAATCGATCTGCTCCACCCTCTAACCCTTCAAGCATTACCCATATAGGTTATGTCGATATGTTGCGGATATTAGATGAATTAATACAATTGAGTTAACATTTGTCATTCTGTACTCAATCATGTTCTAAAAGTTATTCTCATTTATTTGAATCATGTTGTGTGCTGAGGGTCACACTCTGTTCCTAGGGCAGTGCTAGCAGAGAGCAATTATTTCATTCCACAGCCCTACGAACAACTGTGTAAGGGCCTCTTTATATGCAATTTGGTCATTCGGCATTTGAACCCCAATCATGTATGTCCATAAGAACATAGGATGAATCATGTATGTCTCTGTTAATGGTGAGGTATTGTGCATGTGGAAAGAGCTTTTTTAGGGACTATCTATTCAATTTTATCATGGGCTTTAAGCCTTCTCTGTTCCTTTTTTAAGATTTATATGAAATAAATAAATATATTTTTTACATATATCGGTTGGAGTTGTCATTTTTTGGTGCTTTCAAAACCCCACTTTTTCTTTCCTTAAAAGAATTTCTTTTGCATACCACTTACCAGGGGTGTGGCCCCTAATATCCAGATCCAGGTCAAAAACCTTTTCTACCCTATTTGTCACACATACCTGCACGGGGTGAGGTTGGGACTGACTCACTGTATTAAGAGAATTACATACAATAGAGCGAGAGGTGATAATACATAACCTTATATGCCTTAGGAAACTGTGCTTATTTGGGTTACAGTACATCTTAAGGCTCATGTGAGACAGTCTAAACCAGTGGTTCTCAACATGTATAACCTCAGGACCCACATTTGTCCTTGGTCATTAAGTCGCGACCCAAGTCTGCAATGTCTGCACTGCAATGGAACACACGACCAGGGCTGCGGTCAGGGGGGTACAGCCAATACTCAGGTAAGGGGCCCGGGGAGCCTCCGGGGCCCGCCTGGGACACTTACATGAGTATCGGCCGATGGTGAAGGTGGAGGAGGCGGCCGGGCCCCCACAGCAGCGGTGGGGGCCTGGCCCTAGCAGTGCAGGGGCCCAGCATTGACGCTCCAGCGGATTTGAGACAAGCTGGGGCCCCATCAGCAACACTGCTCGTCTGAAGGTGGACTGGCGGAAGTGGCGTCACTTCCGGTCATTCCGGCGGGAGAGGAGGTCTGGTGTGCAGGTAAGAGTAGCTGGGAGGGAAGGGGATGCAGCCCTGACCAGCCCATCTGAGACCCCTTCAGAGCCCACCATAGGCAGTCTCAGATGGGCTGTGCAGCATCTATGGTGGGCTCTGCAGGGTCACTCTCAGGTGGGTCCTGCATCCAGCGCGTCACTAACAGGGATCCCAACCCAACCAAGGTGCCCTTCTCATTTGAGGGAGGTGCCCTTTGCCAATCCGTGGGGGGGAGGAGAGCACCCCCCTGAAACGATGGCAGATAGCAAGAAAGCAATAGCTTCTTTGCTATCTGCAGGTTTTTGTTTTTTTTTTAGTATTCTGGTAGCTGCTGCCGTCAGAATAATACTAAATAAAAAATAAAAAACAGCATAGGAATGCATAGCCAGATTCCTATTGGTTATTTCAATTTGCAATATCCAATAGCAAGCTGGCTATTTCACCCGCACTCTGCTGCTGTCAATCACTAGAAGGGGACCTGATGGAGAACTTCAGGTCCCCCTCTGCTGATTGACAGCAGCAGTGGGTGGGTGCAATAGCTAGTTTGCTATTGGCTATTGCAAAGTGAAATAGCCAATAGGAATCTAGCTATTCATTCCTATGCTTTTTTTTTTTTTCCTGGTGGACGGCGGCCCCGATGTCAGAAAAAAAAAACAGCAGGTAAAGATTTACTCTGCTCGATCGAGCAGAGTAAACCTTTCCGGGAGAAAGTGTTTCTCTCCCGGGCGGCTAGGAGCTTCTATCTAATAGCGGGAGACTCCCGGAGCGTCCGGGAGAGTTGGGATGTCTGCACTTAGCCCTGCGTCCAGCGGGTCACTAAGCCCTGCGTCCAGCGCGTCACTAATCCCAGAGTCCATTGGGTCACTAAGCCCTGTGTCCAGTGCATCACTAAGCCCTGCGTCCATCGGGTCACCAAGCCCTGCGTCCAGTGCGTAACTAATCCCTGAGTCCAGTGGGTCACTAAGCCCAGAATCCAGCGCGTCACTAAGCCCAGAGTCCAGCAGGTCACTAACCCCAGAGTCCAGCGCGTCACTAAGGGTTAGTTCACACCATAAGCAGTGTGTTCCGGTATGATTCTGGCCGGAACGCGCTGCCCGCATTGCGGCCGGCTCACTTATTTGCTGGGCTGGAGGGGGCGTGACGGGCCATTGAAGTGAATGGCACCGTAGCCACGCCCTCCGGCCCCAATGCGATTGCCCGCACGGGATCGCAAGGCACATTGTGCCTGGGTTTAGGAGTTCTGACAGAGTTCAGAGTTCAATAAGCCAAAGAGAAGTCTGCAGGGCTCTTCTTCAAGCAAGCTTTAACAGATGATGTCCAGAGATTAAAGGGGAAATCTGCTGCGATGTTAAGACTTCTTGATGTTGCTGGAGTTCCCTTCTTGATGTTTCAAAACAAGACCCTCTCTAGTTGCGTTGGCAGCATCTTTTGTTAGCCCTCTAGGGGGTGTCAAGGAGCCGGCCCCTAGGGTAGGGCTAGGAAGGGAAATTAGGAGGAGGATGAACCTTTATTTTACAATATCCCCGCCCAATTCCGAATTATGAAATGGAGCTGATATTGTAACTCAAGTTTATGACTTTCGGGTGAATGTGGGGTCACCTGGGTCATTACCTCTACCAGACCTGCTTGTGTTTATCAACTTGTCCACTGGTGACAGATGAATGCCTGGTGACATGTCGTTAATTATGGGCAGCTATAAAAGGTTTAGAGGGCTATTTGGGACTCTCACTAATACTGGGCAACAAAGATCACAGGCCAGATAAGCAGATCTCTGTTCCTGGAATGTGGAAGGCCTGGCAAAGGACTAAAGGAAGGTCTGCATTTGCTCTGAACTGGGGGACAAGAGAATGCTATTTTTTTATTATCAGACTCAAACCCCCACTATCGTCACAGGGGCGTCCTGAGGCCGGGTGTCACCCAGAGCAGAAACCGGGTGACGTCATCGTGCATGCACGGCTATCTCATTGATACCTGCCGTCCTCTCTCTTGAAACCGAGTGCCGACTTTTCAGAGGGGGGTGACACCAAAATGACTGTTAGTCATTTTGGTGTTACCCCTCCAATCGTGTCACCCGGTTGCGTCACTGTGACGTCACTGGTTGTAAGTGCCACATGGTCTCCACAAAGAAGCTCATCGTGACTGTCTCAGATTCCTGAACACAGTACTGCAACACAGTACTGCCATATCCAGCTCATCAGGGGCTAGTGTGATACATTGTAATGCCAAGACAAGGAGATACTGTAAACTAAATACAGACAATTGTCCCAGTAGTATCTGCTGGATGAATTAAGCCGACTGGGAAGGGACTTTCTTCGGGGTTGAGCATCTTAAAGAGATGAGGTGCTAATTTGAAGCCTTGGGAAGGAATCTGTTTCTATGTAGCCGATCAGGATCCCAACAGAGACTTGTGAGCTCATCAACTGACATGTTTGAAACTTATAGTTAAGTTAGGTGGGGAAAGTGGAATGCACTTTCTTGTTGATGTTGAAATGCCAATATTGAGATTTACCAATTGATTATTGAACCTGCTTCACTAATCATTTTTCTTATTTTCAGCATGCAGTGCGGCTGAGTAAAGTTACGTATTATTTACTATTTTCTGTCTCACTGTGTCACAGGATTTCGAAGGTGTCATCAGATTCAGGTAGGAGCTGTACCCACACTTATCACAGCCCGCAGCTAAAGGAGCGCTACATTATCAGGGCTATTCACAAAAGAGTGAAGTGTTTGGAGACACCTAACAGTGTCCTCCTGTTACCCTAAGGAGAACTATGGGGAAAAGCCTTAACCCCATAGTTCTCCTTTAAGGAAACTCTCATTTTACAGTAATATACCTGCGTCCAGCGCGTCACTAATCCCAGAGTCAAGCGCGTCACTCAGCCCTGCATCCAGCGGGTCACTCAGCCCTGCGTCCGGCGGGTCACTCAGCCCTGCGTCCGGCGGGTCACTCAGCCCTGCGTCCAGAGGGTCACTCAGCCCTGCGTCCAGAGGGTCACTAA